CTCTCTCTCTCTCTCTCTCTCTCTCTCTCTCTCAGAGCAACGGGTGGGTTTGAACTACTAAACTTGTGGTTAGCAGCTCAATATATAAAACACTATGTCAACTGGTTTGGTTTGTATTTATGTTCTATCCTGCCTGACCTACTTTCTAGTATTTCTTTGAGACAGTCCCACATTAATTTCCCAGTGGTCACGTACCTATGCTCAGATGCTATTATTTCCAGCATTTGTTTCTCCACGTGAGTCCTCTTTATAACAGTTGAGCCTATAATATATTTCCACATCAACTAAATATGAGTAACTCATCATTCCCTAAAATTCTTCTCATTTTCTACAGTGTTTAGAACATTATTGTCTCCTCAGAATCAATAATCATGTTAATTAATTTACTTCTTACCTGTATCCTACCCCAGTGCACCCCTATGACTTGTTATTTTGTCATTAGTCATCTCACTTTTATACTTCCTCCATTCTGAATCTTAAATATGGCTTAAAGATAGCTTATGTGATTTAAGTATCCACTGAAAATGCTAATGATGGAAACATTTTAGGAAAGAGGGGAAAAAACCTAGTTTAATCTATATGAATTACTCAGACAATCTCATTCTGGTCATAATGTTACTCTAACCTGCATTAGTCCAGTTTGTACAGGTAAACCAGAATGTTATAAAATGTTCAAGATTCATTTATTTGCACTAATGTTTTCTGAATTCAGAGCTCAAGATATGCTGGGATCAGATTTTCGCAATTATATGTTCCCTCCTATTCTATTCACTGCCCTGGTGTCAATTCCAACTTATAGCAGCCCAATAAAACAGGGTAGAACTTCCACCTTAAGGGTTTCTGTGACTCTTTATGGGAGTAGAATGCTTCCTCTTTCTCCCATGGAGTTGTTGGTGGTTTTGAACTGTTGACATTGTGATTGGCAACCCATCAGGTAACCACTATGCTACTAGAGCTCCTGTACAGGATTATCTAGGTATGTTATAATTTCTAAGTGGATTCTATTCAAATGATGACAGCTTCTAGTGCTTTCTATGTATTACAAGTGGAAGTGTATGTTTTTTTCTTCTGCCAAAATGCTTTTCACTTTAGAGGTATGGGGAATTACAAATTTAAAAAACCAGGCACTCCCAAGGGAGGCGAAGAGAGTAAGATTCAGTATATTTCAAAGATATCATTACTAATTTCACACACACTCAAGGGGAACAAAAACTAAATGTTCAATCAAAAGTTCTCTGACGTGGTATACATACAGTGTGTGTGCTATTTGTAGAATCTGTTATTGTCTGTATTTGACTTGTGGTCATCTAAATGCCTTAGCTTAAAAAGCATGTCCAAATTCCAGATTGATGAAGTCCAAGCCATTCTTTACTGCTACTTCCCCCAGCAGTCCACAGCTATGTCATGCTGTTTGAAGTTATGCTTTAGGCATCCTTTGGAGTATTCCTTATGCTATCTCTGCTAGTGGTTATACTATAACAAATATGCTTGGGTGTGCTTCTGTCATTGCATCTCTTTTCTGCACGTGTCAGCAACGAACATTATTTTAAGGCTGATAGACCAGCTGACTTTCAGAACCCCAGTGGTGGAGGCCTTCACTTATGTCACATGAAGCATGACTCTGACAATCAAACATTTCAATGAAATGCATGCAGCATCTGTGGTGGGTAGTTTTCAAAATCATCCAAAAGCTAGATATAACTTTAATTGATGAAAATGAAATTATATTCCATAAGTTTTTATTTTTCTGCCTCTGTTCTGGATGTTAGGAAGAAAGCTAAACCTAGGGCATAGCAAGTCAGACAATGGTCTATTCTTCCCCTTTGTGTTAGAAGTTGTGTGTTTATAATAACTCCTTTCCCTTTTATATGCATTTTATACAGATTTCACTTTATCCAGAAGTCAAGTCCACACAGGTTTGGAACACATAAATATACCTACCCTTGAATATCTTACTGTGCATTGAAGTATTAAGTATTTACACATAAGATTTGATAAATGTTAGATGATCCATAGGACCTAAAACTGGGAGTTAAGAAAAACCAAAGATAAAGCTGGTCTGCAGTAAAATTTCACACTGATGCCACATATGGTAATTACCCCAATGAAGATACTGTGTTTTTTTTCTGCTTTGTAATCACTTGCATTGAAAAGCAGTGATTTTTAAGCCAATTGCAAGATTCAGTGACTACTTTTGTTGTATATTGTATAAAATGTTGATTTTGTTTACCTGCAGATTTTACTATCTACTTTCAATCTTCTTCAGACATATCTACAACAGAGGACAACAAATCCTTGTACTCACAACTTAAATAACCCAGGTTATTTCACATTTGAGCTCATTGCTGCCATAACTTCCCTCCTCACTGGAAACAACTCCCCTGGGATACTGTGAACAATGTTGAATGGTCACTCATTCTCAGGATCTGGAACGCTATGTTAAGCAATCAGCATTACTATGGTTTCACTTTTGTCATATTACTTTTGAAAACTTACTGCTTCATATTATATAGTGCTATCACTGCACTGTAAAGAAAATACATATCATTTACATGTTGTCTCTGTGTATTAATGATAGTTCGATGATAAGTACTTATTATTTGTTCAGCAGACAACAATGGAGTTTGGCCAGGCTCTGCTTGCTAACAAGGCACAGAGAGATCATGTAAGCAAAGCCAGAGGCTGTATACTGGTGAGGCATGGAAAGCACAGCAGGCCAAGGCTAGGACTTCATGCTGATGGGGCATGGAAAGAGCATGTAAGCCATGCTGGACCCTAAGTTTGCTAGGCCAGGAGCTGAGACTGGTTGCAGGGTTAGCATGCTTAACAGGGTTCTGCTTGTTATAGTCTTAGGCTGGCCTGGAGCCAGGGTGATGCAGGAAGGATTGCTAGGCACATCCCAAGCGGGTTTCTTCCTTCCACCCTTTACCTGACTTACTCTCACATATTCTTGGACCTAGAGGCTTTGGGTGACCTTTCAAGTTGTTCTCTTCAGTCACTAGTTTTTCCTTTGTGCCAATTATTTCCTGGTTATTGGAGAGGGATCCAATTGTATATGTATTTAATTATCCATCTTACCCCAGAAGTTCCATTTTCTATATATATTAGAGATTACTTGTTTTTCCATTGTATCATTGTAAAAAATTTTTCTCATTCTATTTCTCCTTTTATTCTTTTCATAAAGTCTTGATGTATTTAAGTGTCTATACACAGTAACTTCTGAGTTGAATAATATAGACTAGTTTTAATCCAAAATAGCTGAAATTATCAAGAATACTATCCAGAATGATTTTTCCCCTTCTGCTGCATGTTTGGCATTTTATTGCAAAGCACAGTTTACATTTATACCATCATTAGTACTGTAGTTTATTTTTTTTATTATGGGTTAAATAACCTTCAGTGGGATTGTCTGTAAACCTAGCCAGACTTTACTATGTTGTTTCTATGGAAAATATATACCCCCCTCCCAGGGGGATGAACAATGGAAAAGTGGGTGAGAGGCGACAGAGGAGGATGTAAGATAAGAAAATAATAATCTATAACTTACCAAGTGTTCGGGAGGGAGGGAAGGCAGGGAGAGAGGGGGAAGAAATGGGGATCTAATATCAGGGACTTAAGTGGGAAGAGAATGCGTTGAAAATGATGATAGAAGCATATGTACAAATGTGCACAATGGATGAATGTATGGATTGTATAAGAACCCCCAATAAAAGTATTTAATTAAAAAATTAAAGGATTTATACATTGGAGAGGAAAATAAGCACAGCTTTTAAAACAAACAAAAAACCCACCAAATCTGTTGGCATCCAAATTCAACTCCTAATGACCCTAATGCGTAAAGTAGATCTGTACCATAGAGTTTCCTAGTTTGTACGTATTTACAAAAGCAGATTGTCATATTTGTTTTCCAGAGGCACAACACTCATAGCCAAGCACATAGCCACTGTGCCACCAAGGGTCTTTGCTCAGATTTTAGACACATAAAATTTGAAAGGAAGGTAAACTGTCTGTAGCCCACTCGTTTTTATGCTGGCTATGACTGACTGGGATCAACCTTTGGCTTGTTACTCATTACTTTTACAGATGACACTACTGAACTTCTTCTTCCCTGAAGAAAAGTCATATACAGAAGAGGAAAGTAGGAGTGTTCACCGCAATAAAAGAAGCAAAAGCAGTGAAGGAACAGATGGTAAGTCTACTCAAGTAATTCCTCCTTTATCACTTCTCAGTTATCTGTGGGCCCAACGTCACAGAAGGATTTTCCAAACTACCAAGGAGTACTTTGACGTAGAATTGACTATGATTCTTTCTCCTTTAACCTCAGCTACATTTTGTTCTTTATCAGTATGTCTGAGAGCCATGGTGCTATTTTTATCTCTCAAGATTATCTTTTGCATGGACATCATCTTTCCTAGGGATAGTCCATCTATTAGCTGTCCATTCAAGGCCACCTAGAGGATTCAGTCTTATTCTTAGAATTAGCAGTGTTTTGCTGTGCTGGCACTTACGTGATGTGTTATTTCCACTGACAATGGTATTGATTTTGGTATCAGCTACCATGCCCAAATATGAACTAGATATTCTGGAACTAGTTTGTAAGTTCCTTGAAGGCAAGGATTCATTTTTATTTTGTATCCAAATAATCTAGCCTAATTTCAAGAACATCATTAGTATATGTAATGTAAATTGATGATGTAGCTCCCTCCTTCTACTAGATTATGGTGTGCCAACAGAAACTATCCCTATTGCAAATGAAACAGATTTAACTAGCAATGCAGTCTTTGGGGATATAACAACCTTTTGTGCTGGTAGGGTCTTTGAATCACTCCAATATTTCAATATCACTGTTAATTGACAGACTGCTATCAGTTTGGCACAGGAGTTTATAGAATGCATAGCTCTTGGCTGCTGAAAAGCCATCTAGACTCAAAGACAGCATGTCTCTAGCTACATTTGACAATGACTGATATATGCCTGAGAGGTTACAAAACGTACTACATTTACAAGGAGGAAAATGAGATTTTTGAAAGTTGCTTTTTGTCACTGTGAGCAAAGAAGCAGTTCCAGAAGACCTGCACTACTGAAGAGATAGGGCAAAAAAGAAGTAGAACCCGTTGAAGTCTGAAAGGGAGCTCAAAACAAGGTCCCTTGTGTAATTAAAATGTAATTAAAAACATTTTTAAAAGAAGAGTAATTAAATAGGTGAAACTTTCTGGCCCATCGATGTGACAGCAGCACCGAAACTTTGAATAGAGAACTGGACCAGAGGGGACATTCTCTGGAGCAGAGACTTTGCATGTGTTTGATGCCTAAGTTCAAGGATAGGAAAAGTGGTTCATGAAATAAAAGGCATGCATTTTTCACATATAAGGGGACTTCAAAAATCCATGGAAAAATTCCAATATATTTTACATCAAGTTTCCACAAACATTTTAAAGCTTTTCTCTTAGAAATTATAGCCAACTTCCTGGAAGTCTTCTGGATGTGCAGAAGCTGTGAGGTGAGGGTTGTGATTAGTCATTTCCTAATTCTCCACAGTTTGACATATGTGGGTCTCTTCACCTCTCTCTCTTTCTCAGAGGTTTCTCCCAGTACCACAAAATACTTCATAATCTCTGATTGCTAAGAAAAGTAAAGGTGGTAAGAGCAATGTCACCTGCCATAGGAGTCATGAACTTCCCTTCTCTGTTAGACAGGGTTCTCTAGTGAAACAAAACAGTAATGCTAATAATCATATATATATTTATACAGATGATGATAGATAGATAGATAGATAGATAGATAGATAGATAGATAGATAGATAACAGAAGAAACAAACAGTTAATTAAATTATAAAGCAGTACAAATGGCTCAGTACAACTCACTCCCGTGAGACAGTTGTGAGACACTGGCAGTCCTTCAAGTCTTGAAGGCTGCCCGGTAGTCCTCTGTAGAGCAATTCAAGCTATCTGGGCACAGGCAGCAAACAGCAAGGCAGGTCACCAACTGTCAGCCAGATGACAGAGTCCGACAGTCCCCAGCTCAAGAGATGTAAATTCCAATGGTTGGCAAAGCAGGTCTTGAAGGAACCTCAAATTACAGCAACACTGTCCACAGGTTAGGTATCCCACATGTAGTATAGCTTGCAAATTGAGGCAAAGAACAAGCACACTGTTCCGATGATTAAAGAGCAAGAGACAAGAAAGGCGAGGCTCACCGAGCCATTTATCTCTCCGCCTTTCAATTAATCCCACATGTGTTTATCGGCCAGTTGGCACAATAAGCTAACTACTTCACCTTCCTCTCCAGATATGAAGTCTAATAGCTTCTTTAAATTTACCTCTTCATTTAGCCTCCTAGATTTTCTCTTAAACAAGCTTACTTCCTTTCCTTCCCCAAACAACTTTATCACATTAGGCTACAAGCCTCTCTGCTACTGATCTTCCTTAGAGTGTTTATTCTTTCTTAAAACAAAACAGCATTATCTTCAGTCAAGGTCAGAACCATTCATTAATTGTTAACATTTCTTGTCTAATACCCTCTTTATGTAATACTTTTTGGAGACTAGTCAAGTTGTGTGAATTCCAGGTTTTTCTTGTAATCTTAGTTAATTAAAAAAATGTTTTAGCTGGGAGAAATCTTGAACCTTTGGAGTTAGGAGGGTGCCAAATGAATGGTATCTGGTTCTACAACACACTTACTATTTTACAACCCTACTGTTTGTGTAAATAGTGTCCAGTCACTTAGGAGGTTAATCTGTACAAGTCAGCAATTCATGGATTGCTGTTCATAGCTGGTTTATACCCATACAATTCTTTTTCTGAATAGTGTTTAAAATTTTGTACTATTAGCTAAACTAATGACACTTTCAGTGCATAGCGATTATGCGTTGCGCTGGTAACAGAAAGGTCAGCAGTTTAAAACACCAGCCAGTTCCACAAGCGAAGGATAAGGCTTTCCACTCCTTTGAAGATTTGCATACTCAGAGACTCACAGGGGCAGTTCTAATGGACTTGATGGTAGTGGAAGTGATGCCCCAGGGGGATGACTAATAATGTTCTCTAGCATAAAATGACAATAATATCTCTAAGGTGACCCAGAGACATATATAAACCGCAGATGCATGACTCAATTTTTGATTTGCCCTTAATTCTATCCTCAATTTAAGAGCAATTAGTTATTTTGACATGGCCCTGCTTGTTGCTTACCTTCCTAAAAAAAACACTGAAGATATGGTGCTATAGCAAAGTATGGTGAATAAACTAGATGGTGTCTGGCTACCAGAAAGAGGCTTGTTTTTAAAACAAACACCCATCTAAGTGAAGCATCAACTAAGTCCTTATGGAATCAGCACACCAGCCTGTGGAATCTAAGGATTGTAAATAATAAAATCTAAATCTATTGGAGGAAATTGTATCAGAGCTTAAATTCTGATCACGTGGTGTGCAAAAGGACATAAGTGACAGTGGAAGCCAAAAATCCATTTCCAGGGTCCACACATGGATTAAGCCTCTGGCGAAGCCCTCTGATCATAGTTGAAGGATGTTAATAGCCCCGTTATCAGACAAAGAGCATGGGAAAGTTTATTATGGCAGATATAATTAGGTTAAAATGTATTATCTAATCATTTAATCTCCATTATAACTAATTTTAAAGCTATTTCAGGTGTTTTTTGTTTTGTTTTGTTTTTTAAGTGAAGGGGAAATACACATGACGTGGATTAAGCCCCTGATGAATCCCCTCTGACCATGGATCAGGAATGTGAATACCTTTGCTATTTTGCATAATACATCTGAAAATATATTTTTGCAGAGGGTTAAAATTTAACACCCTATCATTTGATCTACTTCTGATCCATTTAAATTTGTTCTTGTTTTTATTATGTTTTGCTTTCTTTTCAGTTGAGGTTTTTATCTGTTTTACTTCGTTATTGTTGTTAGCTTTTGTGTTCTGTTTTTAAATGTTATTTTGTGTATGAAACCCAAGATGGGTAAAGCTACAGAACCAACAAATGGATTAATAGATCCTTGGGTATGGCAGGGAAAGTTGCGGGAAAATGGGGAGCTAATAATGATGAGTACAAGAAGTAAGGAGGTGGTGCTGACAAATCCAAGGACAGGGGAGCAACAAGTGATGCAAAATTAGTGACAAGGAGGGTGTGATAGGCCTGGTAGGGATTCAGCAAGGGCAATGTAACCGAGAGAAATTACTGAAACCCAAATGAAGGCTGAGCATGATAGTGGGACAAGAGGAAAGTAAA